AAAGTACAAAAATTACGGATTGTTCTTTGAATGTAGCCTGAAATTTAACTGTTTGCTGAATTTAAGCACTTCCAGATTTTCTGTTTTACTAAAGATTAAAATTAATAAAATTTTGATGTTTCTCCCGTGATTTACCTTTTCTATTTTGTGTCCCCCCCCCTTTTGCTTTAATAACTGCAAACAGTCTTTCAGGCATTATTGCAACATATTTAATCAAAATGTCACTAATAAACTCCCATACAGTTTCTTTAGACGTAACTTTTGATTTGTCAAGTTTTTGATCTATCAATTACCCAGATCTGATATATTGGGTTGAGATCGGGCTCTGTGGAGACCATTGCATCATTTGAATGACTCCAGCAGCTTCTTTCTTAGCTAAGTAATCACTGCTTAGGTTGGATGAATGTTTGGGGTCATTATGTTCTTGGTAGTAGAATCCTTTACCAATAATACAAAAACCAATGGGTTTACCATGACGGATCAGCATCTCATGGTACTTGCGCTGGTCCATTATTCCATCTATTTTGCAAATATATCCTGTTGCCTTAGCAGAACTCCTCCCAAGCCATCACACTGCCTTCCCCATGCTTCTTGGTAGGTACTATGCATTGAGGTGAGTATATTTCACCTTTATTCTGCCTGACGTACAACCTACGCTTTGAAGCACATATTTCCAACTTGAACTCATCCGTCCATAACACCCTCTTTCAATCATCAACAGTCCAGTTTTGTACTTTTTAGTAAACTTCAGTCTCTTGACAATATTTGGGGATCAAAGTAAAGGTTTTTTAACTGCTACACGACCAAATATACCATTCTAGTTGAGTCTTTTTGATACTTTTCTGTCATTTGGTACATGGTCATTTATTTCATGCTTCAGATCAGTGGCAGTCTTCCTTCTGTCCCGAAGGCTGCATAAACGAAGATACTTAACATCAATATCACTGAGTTTAGTTGTGCTGTCTCTTCCTTTCCTATTTTCAAATTTACTTGTCTCGGTATCACGATCTAGGATGTACTTGACAGTGTTTGGGGTTCATTTCAGGTCTGCAGAAATTTGTCGGAGATTCCAACCAGCGTCACGTAAAGCTTTTATGCGAACTCTCTGCTTTACTGACAACTCTCTACGCTTTTTGGTCCATCACAACAAAACTTAATTCATAGTGTTAAACACAATTTTATCAAGGTTTATTTGTGGAGTGCAATTGAATTGATTTCTTCAAGCATATACCGGTACTATATGCTAGCTTCTTTCTATATAGTAAAGACATTGCATGATGTACCATGACAGTTATTTCAGATCCTAAATTTGATCAGTATGTTCATTCACGCAGAACCCTTATGACATGACCTTGGTACAAGTATATGGGAATTCTAAAGATTAAGTATTCTCACTCTGGCTCATTAAATTGTCAACAGAGATCAGGGAAACATTACTATAGTGTTGAAATTTACATTCTATAATGGCATGGGAGAATTAGCCCACAAAATTAAAAAAAATAATTCTCTTTTCCCAACACTTTTGCACGCTACTATATATATATATTGGACATGGTTTTGATTTACGACTCATTGCCGGTGAAAGTAAACGTTTTATTTACACGTCAGTATTTGCAAGGCGGTTCACTTTTATAAATATTTTCTTGATTTGGAAGCTATGTATATATATTCACTGGTTGTGTTGTGAAACAGTGAAACTCAATAACTTATGATAAACTGGATATTAAATTGATGCTATTAAGCTTAAGACCAAGAATATATTATACTTCTGCATTGTTACTGGTGCATATTAAACAGTATTTAGTAACAGTATATTGTTACTGGTGCACATTAAACAGTATTTAGTTCTGAGCTCCCTATTTTCTAGTAGTAATAGTAGACAAAACGATTTTAAAAAGAAAGTAAAAAAATACTGGTAATGAGTACGATAGGCTAAAGTTTGTTAAACAATTCTTTTTTTTAAACGCTAACTAAAACATGCGAGCAAGGTGAAGTTGGGTAAATACTTGAGTTAGAAACATCACTTACCCGTTCTTCTCTGGCCACCTTCTGCGTTTTCCATACGAACTCCATGACAGCAATGACACAAGCTACACTTAGACCCATGAGAAGAACTACGAAGACGCCCCCTACATTTGCCAATCCCATTTCACTTTCCGAACCCGAGGCTTTGCCCCCTTCTTCTGTACATTTGTCACCTCCTTTTTTCTTCCACCACTTTGATTTCAGCACGTGCAACTTACCCTCTTCCTGTAAGTTTAGAATGGCACTAGATAAAGCGTTCGTGAAGGGCGAACCTATGAATGAAAAGAGAAATAAATTACCATAATTTATTAAACTGAACTCAGTAGTATTTACAGGGAGAATATGAATATCTAGGAAAATAAAAGTAAATCTTAATGAAAGTACAATATAATATTTATAGATACGTAATTGCCCATTTCAGGTTCTAACACGTCTCGTGTAGATTAAACCCAAAGTGTACTAAAATAGAAAAAAAAATGGACCTAATAACTTTAAGTTTGAGCCACACACACACATCAACCCATATATATTTGTATGTCATCATTTTGATAACATAACATAGCCTTTTGGGACAACATGGGACCTATTGGTTCATCTCGGCTGTTCCATCCTCTAAACTAAATTAAAATCTTAAAAGAAAAAATCTTAAAGCCAGCCCTTTTCATTCATATACTTGTTAAGCTTTTTCTTAAACTCACTTAAATTTACTGCCTCCACAACATCTGAAGGTAACCCATTCCAAAGACCAATCACCCTGTTAGAAAAATAAAACTGTCTTAGCTGAAAATGATTCCTGTACTCCCAAACTTTATATTTGTGTCCTCTAGTCTTACTATTCTCACTGTTAAATATACAAAAAGATCTTAAACACCTCAATCAGATCCCCTAACTTTTTTCAACAGAAATCAATTTGAGAGATTTCAACCTTTCCTCTTATGACAATCCCCCCATCCCAGACACCATTTTAGTAACCCTTCTCTGAACCCTTTCCAACAATTCAGGGTCTTCCCTAAGGTAAGGAGCAAAATAATGAACAAAATGTGGCCTACCCAGTGATCTATAAAATGAGATTATAACATCTTTAAAATTGTATTCAGTTTTTCTGTAGATACAACCTAAAATTATATTTTCCCTACCACTAGCAACAGCATACTGCTTGCATGGCCTTAGAGACTGATCAATTATTACACCAGGATTCCTTTCTTTCATAATACCGTTAAGGTTATTTCCATCCAACTTATACTTATAATTCAAATTATGATAACCCACATACATTATCTTGCATTTATTATAATTAAAACCCATCTGCCATTTATTTGCCCAACTCACCAAATGATCTAAATTATTTTGCAAATTAGCAGCATCTTTTTTTCAGAACTAGCAACACCCAAGACCTTAACATCTTCTGCAAATTTAAGTAGTTTATTGATCATTCCTTTATCTATGTCATTTATGTAAATCAAGAGGAGAAAATGTCCTAAGACTGAGCTCTGAGGTACCCCACTTGTGACATTAATCTAGTTTTGACTGAACTCTATTTGTAACAACCCTCTGATTTCTTCCATCTAGCCACTCTTCTATACAATTTGTTAATTTATCCCC